TACGTAATCGCTTGATCTCTTTCTTGTGTGCACACACACAAACACATGCACACACACGCGCACACACACACACACACACATACAAACACACACACAAAAACATAGCTTTGAGACAGGAGTTTCAATACCTGTTAACAAGTGCATTATCCATCCTTCCCTATCCCCCTCCTCCATCCCCCTCTCCTCTGCTTTTCAACACAGCTGTGCCCTCCGACGTACAGAAACCATTGTCACGCTTCCTCGCACAATTTCCATTTCAAACAGAACCAATATCAAACTTTATCCCCCTCTGAACCCCCCCCCAACCCAAGATACGATGGGCCAATCCACCCCTTTCTCTCCTCTCGTCCATCACCATTTCTAATGAGCTGCCATATCAATAATGCAGTGCCATATAAATAAACCATTATTATTCCCATAGACAGTCAATAGCCGTAGCATGAGCATGTAAAAAAACTTCAAAGACTATGTAATCGGCAATCAGTAATCAGAGGATCATCAGTTGATCAGGGAAGCAAGTCCATTTGGTAAGCCAGTCATCTGTGTTAGTATCGATTTTGCTCAGCGTCAACAATCAGGTTGTTAATAATGGGAGGTTATAGGAGAGGTGATATGTCCTGTTGGGATTATGACCCCTTGTCTGAGACGGTCAACAGACACTTACAGGTTTTAGTCCTCCCCACAGTGTCAAGTAGAGAGAGAGAGAGAGAGAGAGAGAGAGAGAGAGAGAGAGAGAGAGAGAGAGAGAGAGAGAGAGAGAGAGAGAGAGAGAGAGAGAGAGAGAGAGAGAGAGAGAGAGAGAGAGAGAGAGAGAGAGAGATGCCTGAGGGTAAATCCTGGAGTCTTAAGGACTCAACTCTTTCAAATATGCAGACCCCTTTCCCTGTCCCTCCCTCCCTCCATCGCGTGTTAGAAAGACTGAAACAAAATGGAGGTGCCAACAGTAGCCTGTGTGTCAAGGCATCATCGAATATTTACAGCCTAAATATAAGCCCAGCAGTTTGCATGATTTGAGGGGCTATCAGGCAAGAAAATGAATAAGACAGAATATAAGAGAATAAGATAATAAGCAAATTACTATCAGTATATCGATATCTCACATCTCGCTATGCTGTGTCTCTCTGCCCTGCTCTGCTCGGCTGTATCGGTCGGCAGCTAGCCTACTTAGCATACAGATGTCATGCCTAGTTATGATTCATGGCCATTTTGGATTTCAAAGTGGGCCGCCTGGTCGGGAGATATCATGAATACGATGTAGATCATGAATCTGAAATTCCAGTTATTGTTGTTTTTCTCTGGAGCGGCTCCACTCTGAAAAAAAAATGACTGCTCATTTTAGTTGAATTGTTGCTCCCGGCTTGTTGCTATTTTGGTTTTTCTTCTGGTCTAGTGTTCCACTCTGAAATGCCTCGTATGATAGATATCAGAGTAGATTTAGGTTGGTACTGTACAGTTTATGCATGGCATTGTATACACAAGAGTTTAGTGGGCATGATATTGTTTAACGGCAACCATTCACCCATGTGGCCTACAGATGTAGTATCTTAATTTGATCACCCTGTTGCAGGATAACTTTCCTGCAATGCAGGAAATGTAAAACTTGTAGTGGATTTGAGGTTTAAAAAATGTCCACTTTCTGACTATATTTTCCCTTTTGAAAAATGGATCAACCCCTACAAAATTGTCGATTAATTTTTATCCATGTAATAATTCACATTTCCTGTTGCTGCAGGAATATTTTCCTCCTGTAACAAAATGTCTCAAATTAAGATCCTACATCTTCATACAGACTATAGGTCAGGCTTTAGTATAATAATAGAGGCTTATACAGCCTATACAAAAGGCTGAGGGGAAAAAGGCTGAGAACCTTTCTAGTTAGAATTTGAGAATATCCCAGCTTTGCACCCCTCATAAAGCACAAGCATTTATATTAAAGTGAAGGTATCACGATATGCATAAGGTACATCGACAGTGTTACATACTGTATGTCATTGGTTTGTTTGAATGTATCTGTCTGTTTGTTGTTTGCGTCAAGGCAGGTGGTTGGAATGCGGTGATTATTTGATTTCATCAAGTATCGAGGTTAGAGACATAATCATTTGACCTCCCGGTAGATACAGTATGTTGCGTAATTGCTTGCATATATTATTATATTTGTTTTGTGTCACGCTGATGTAACTCTGCAACATCACTCAAACACACACACACACACACAACACACACCCATCACACACATACTGTACACTCAGTTGAGCCTTGTATACACACACACACACACACATGTATAGATCTGCCTATTTTTGCCTATGTACAAATATGTGGGGAGTAGGATGCACACACACATGCAGTCTTACATAACTAACATTGTGGGGACACACAATTCAGTCCCATTCAAAATCCTATTTTCCCTAATCCTAAATCTAACTGTAACCTTTACCCTAACCTTAACCCCAAAACAAAACCTTAACCCTAAACCTAACCCTAGCTCCTAACCCTAACACTAATCCTAACCTTAACCCTAAACCCCCTAGAAATAGCATTTGACCTTGTGGGGACTAACAAAATGTCCACAGTTGGTCAAATTTTCGTTTGTTCACTATTCTTGTGGGGACTTCTGGTCCCCACAAGTATAGTTAAACACACACACACACACACACACACACACACATACTCCCTATGGCTAAACAACTCCATGATGATAATAGCCGGTGCTGAGTGATTGTGATTGTGGAATGCTGGAGACCTGATGTTGCTGCTGCAGCATTCTGCCTAGGAACTCAGGTCAGCCTAGAGAATGTGCAGGACACAGTGTACTTCTTCTACACACACACACACACAAACACACACACACACACACACACACACACACACAAACACACTCTAACCCTGAACCTAATTGTAACCTTAAACCTAACCCCACCTTTGTCCTCATGGGGATGTGGGAAATGTCCCGACAAGAGAGGATTTTCCTTGTTTTACTATCCGTGTGGGGACTTTTGGGGATTTTAGGTCCCCCCCCCCCCCCCACACACACACACACACACTCAGGCTTACACCTCAGACACTACTCTCACTGTTTCTGTCTGTCTCTTTAGTTACAGCAACAGCATGCACACAGTGCTATCAGAAATATAGAACCACAAACACACACAGTAGGCTGGATTTACTGATTTCAGTCACACACACAGCAATATACAATCACACACACTCGCATAGACACACACCACACGTACGCATGCAATCATACTGTGACACTGTGCAGAAGCTCTGAGTCTTGTGTATTTTCTTCCCTCTCCCTCCCTCCCTCCCTCCCTCCCCTCCCTCCCTCCTTTCCTGCTGATGTTAGGACACTAGAGAGCAGCCTACACCTTCTTTCTGCAGCCTCCGCAATCACTCCTTTAGTGATCACTCATTTCTCTCCCCCTAGCATCACCTACATGTCGATTGTCGACTGGTGCAAGAGACCAAACCCTCTGTCAACGCATCTCTCACTCACACAATGAGGAACAACCAGAAGAGAAAAATATACCCAAAATAGCATTGTATTGAAAGAACAAACGTTTCAACATTACACGCAAAACATAGTCAGGAAATCCATCGGCCCGGGCATGTGTCATGTCATGTGTTACTGCTGTCTCTTTAAGAAGGATAAAAGGCCAAATATAAAATTCTTAATCTAGCTCCTATTTTAGAATTCATTTTGATTTGAATAGTGTCGGGCTAGACGTTTTCTTCTTCCTTTTGATGTGTCCCACGCGGTGAAAGGAAGGCATAGCTCTAGCATGACAGCCAAGCAGCAGTGAAGGAAAGGCAGAGCTTTTTAGATCTCTCAGACGATGATGATCTCTCTGCTTCTGCCTGTGTCGTCTGTGTGGATGTTTTAGACGACACACAAATTTGATCATGTGAAAATACGCCACCTGATTAGAAAGTGTCAGATCAATTGAATCTAGAAAGGATAGAGGAGAAGGAGGGGAAGTGGGAAGGTGGGGGGATTCGGGAGAAGCAACCACAACATCTATAGCGAGCCAGCACATTGAATGCCCCCCTCACTCACAAACAGGGAATGAGGGATAAAGAGAAGTACAGCTAGGCTATCCCTCTGGCCACTTGTCTTTTTACCCAACTAGAGCTGCTGCAGTAGGCACGCCAGACAAACGCTCTCTCTCTTCCAACCACCAGCTCGAGCACTGCATCTCTTTTCATGATCCGCCCCTCTCCCAAAGGTCCCTTACAAGACAAGGGTTTACTGTGAATAGCAATTAATTTATTTAAACATGGTATTTTTTCGTAGTTTACAAAACAAGTAGGATAGCATCTTGCATCTTTTTTTTTTTTTCCCACTCTTGCTTTTTAAACATATTTTACACAGAATTTATAATATATTTTTTTAGTTTTTATAATCCAACTTAGCATTCTTTTTGTATTTTTTTGTTGTCGTGTTTTCGTTGTTGTCGTTGTATTACCACAATAGAAATGGTGTGTTTATGGCTGGCCAGTGTGTCCCCAGTTGGTCTTTAGACAATAGCAGAATATTCTGAAGTAAGAAAGACTCATTTAAAGCTCAAATAATATCCACTCCAGGTGTAGAGAAGAAGAAGAAAAACCATTGGTGCCTACAAACATAGTAATCCTCTCTGGTGTTTCTGTATAAAGTCAACATAATATTCCATCTCTGGTGATTCTGTGTATCAAGTTAACAGGCACAATATAGTCTGGTCTCCATAGTGTCCATAGAGGCCCTTCAGATCCACAGCAATAAATCCACGGTCTCAGTCAGTCCTCCCCCCTTCTCCTCAACAGTAGGGGGGGGACGAGCAGCACAGTGCGACGCAGTGTAAATAGTGTCCATAGCAGGATCCCTGGTTCAATCCTCACTCATACAACCCCAACCCACCCAATATATCCCATATATCCAAAAGGGTCTCGGTTAGTAGTCCATATTATCCACACAAACACACGTAAACACACACATATCCATACACACACAAAGGGTCGGGTCAGACCTCGCACTCCCGGGAGGGCTGCTGCTGGCAGGTGCAGGAACCGTACTCGTTGATGATGACCAGGGCCCCCTCGATGTGGTTGGGCTTGTAGTCGACGTAGTACTCCGGCGTGGACATGGTGGCCATCTGCTGCATGCTCTGCTTCTGCTTTTGCTTGCGCCGATGGCTGCTGAAGCACTGGCGCACCTGCCGCACACCCGCCGGGAAACACTTCCAGGTCACGTAGAGCATCAGCACCACGATGAGGAAGGAAAAGATGAGCGCCATGGTGCCCGTCACCACCTTGTGGATCTGCATGGTGCTCTCTATGTCGTCGAGGTTACCCACAGTCACCGTGAAGGAATTGGTGACCACTGCGCCGCCCTCAGCGGCCGGTGGATCGTATGGGTTGGCCGTGGGGCCGCCCTGGAACTGGTCCTTGGCAGTGTAGCCGGGGTACCAGCCCATGGTCGTGGTGTCCTGGTCGCCGCCATCCTCGCACAGCTGGAAGGCGTAGACGGCATCCAGTATGTCCTCGCCCTGCGCCACATCCGGGCTGGAGCACAGCAGCTGGCTGTCCCGCTGGCCCCGGAAGGCGCTCAGCCACTGGGCCAGGGCGCACACGTTGCGGCTGCATTCCCACTCATTGCCTGCCAAGGTAATGCTGCCCAGGGACGACCACGAGTCCAGGATGCGCTGCTCCACGGCCGTCAGCCGGTTGGCGTCCAGCATGAGGGCCTTGAGGTTGGGCACGCTCTCGAAGACGTGCGGCTCGATGTATGCGATCTCATTGGCCGATAGGTCGATCTTCTCCAGGAAGGGCCAGGTCCAGTCCAGGGTGCTGACCACAACGGTGGCCCGGTTGTTGCGCATGTAGAGCGTGCGCAGCGAGATGAGGCGGGGGAAGTGGGCCAGGTTGACTTTGACCAGCTCGTTGTGCTCCAGGTGCAGCTCGGTGAGCTTGAAGAGCCCGGCGAAGGAGTTTCGCGCCAGGCTCTGAAGCTGGTTGTAGCCCAGGTCCAGGAACTGCATGCTCCGGCAGTCCTGGAAGATCCTCACTGGGACAAACTTGAGGGCGTTGTAGCGCAAATGCAAATTGGTTAGCTTCCTCAGGCCGTGGAACAGGTCGGGTTCCAGCGCTTGCAGCCTGTTGTATGATAGGTCCAGGATGCGCAGGTTGGGGAGGGGCCTGAAGGTGCCGTTGGGCAGGCTCTCGATATGGTTGGTGCTCAGGTCGAGCTCCTTGACCCGGCGCAGCCTGTCGAAGGTGCCCTCCTCCACCACGTCGATGTTGTTATGATCCAAGTAGAGCCAGGTGAGCTGCGACAGGCCAGTGAAGTGGCCCTCGCGCAGCTCTGTCAGGTTGTTCTCGCGCATGGACAGGCCCAGGGCGCTGCTCAGGTTTCGCGGAACGTCGGTGAGATTGAGCCCTTCGCAGTAGAGCAGCTTGCTGTCGCAGCGGCACAGCCGTGGGCAGACACCCTCCACCGAGGGGACCATTTTGAGCATGATGCCCAGCGTGCACCACAGCAACAGTATCAACCCAGGGGGCTTCCTCAGGGGCCACTTTAGGTACAAGCCAATTAGAAGGAAATCCATCAGCCTGAATATCCTCAGATAGATCCGCAGAGAAAATGTCCATTGGAATCGTTCCGGTATTACTCTGTCATGGTTCACATCGTAATTTGTAAACTCTCCCCGGCAGGAAATCAGCTCTCGTATTTTTTTCCTATTCCCTTTCTTGTAGTGAATTGTGTTGTTTGTGTGTTTTTCCCCCCAAGGTATTTACTTATAGAAAGGGGGAGGAATCCAGTGTGGGGGAAAAAAAAGAAAAGAACAGGGGAGAAGGATAAAGGGCAAGTCACTTTGCTCATGTTAGATATCAGGGGGCAAGAGACGAGCAGAGGGGGGGGTAAAAAATGCTGTCTTCACCGAGTGATCACATATGAAAGGAATCCTACTCACCCCTATCCAGAGACGGACAACCCCTATTCAGCGACTCCCTTTGTGCCCGCATTAATTATGTGCGAATCTAAAAAAGGACCCCAGTGTTGTACAAATTTGCTCCCCCCCCCCTCGTCCTTTTCAGCCAGAACACCAGATCCTGGCAGGCTTACAATGTCTTAGTTCTCCTCGAGTGAAAGAAGCCAGAAAAGACCCAAGGAATCCAAGTGGATGCTGGTTAGGAAATGCAAGTTCCCTGCTCGGCTGCATGCATGAGTGTCGTGCCTCCTCGCTCTCTCTCTCTCTCCCTCCTGCTCTTCTGCAGTCACTGCTATTGCGATGATCCGGAGAGGAGAACAGAGGAAGCAAAACCAAGGCAACCAAGAAAGGAGAGGAAAAAATAACTCAAAACTCTCGATAAAGACTGGGGGCAGATCTGTCAACACAAATTACCGTCCGTCACTTGAAGCGATCGCTGACCTGCACGGCTTAAATCCAGTCAGCTCTTTCATTATAATGTCAGGGACCGACCGGCGCGCTTTAGAAAATATGTATTGGAAGGATAAGGATGGGTAACGCCAGGGTCTCTCTCCTTCTCTTCTCTCTCTCTCTCTGTAGTTTTTTCCCTTTCTTTTTAATATCTTTCAGATCCCCTCTCATCTCCTGTGAGAAGCCCCTTGACTCCTGCGTCCTCCTGTCTTTTGGGTTCTGTTCATATCCCCTTGTGCTGTTAGTGGTGTTTTTCCCTTGTCGGCTGGAGGGAGTTTGCTGGTGGAGGCTGGAAGGCTGAGAGGCTGAGGAGGCTGCTAGTAGGGAGGCAGAGGTGGTGTGTGACGGGGATGGAGAGGAGAGGCAGAGCACTGTTCCTTTCGATCCCTCGCTTGCAGCAGACTAGTGTACTGGCAGAGCATGCAGAGGCACCGTCTGTTCACTGAGTGTCGTAAGCCACTCACAATTCAGACTGGCCCCTCTCCTTCTCTCCTCCCTCTCGAGTCTCTCCCTCTCTTCTCCCTCCTCCCCTCCTGTCTCTCTCCTCCTATCCTCTCTCCTCTCTCTCTCTCTCTCTCCTCTCTCTCTCTCTCTCTCCTCTCTCTCTCTCTCTCTCTCTCTCTCTGCTGTCCTCTCTCTCTCTGTTCTCGCTCACTCACTCACTCTCTCTCTCCTCCTCCACTTCCTCTCTCTCTTCTCTCCTCTCCCTTTCTCTCCCCTGTTTCTTTTTCTCTTCTATTCAAGCTCAATTTTCCATATTCAAAAGTGGCAAGGCTTAAATCTGTTTTTTTATTGAAGCACACAGAATATCTCTCTCTCTCTCTCTCTCTCTCTCTCTCTCTCTCTCTCTCTCTCTCTCTCTCTCTCTCTCTCTCTCTCGCGTGCACACTCTCTTGCGCACGCTCTCTCTCGCGCGCTCTCTCACTCCTCTCCCTCCCGCGCTCTCTCCCTCCCTCCCTGTAATGAATTGAAACAAGCCATCTACAGTATCTGCTTCTTCTCTTCTTGTAGAATCCAGTCGCCCCTCATTATCGCATATTAATATTCCACGAATGATTGAAAGGGTGTTCTATATGCGTTCTATCCTCCCAGCTGAGAAATGTTCCAAACTCCTGGCTGAACCGATGGGGCTGGTGCTGCATAATTACATAACAATGCAGATGTCATAATAATAATAATAATAATAATATGTATGATTTATGATCAAACCAATGTTATTGTATGCAGTGATTATACACACTTATTCACACATTTAATGGTAAATTATGCAGCTGTACAGTTTATAGGGCCTCATCTGAATATAGTCTATATGGCAGCATTATCCTACATTACCCTGCTATTTTTAGGGACCAAACCGACCAGCAACTTATTATTAAAATGGCATAGCATATTACCCCAGGTGGTCTAAACATTTAATGTCCATATTTTTATTTTATTTTTTTAATGTGTTTTTAATGAGCAGAAGTGCAATGAGCATAGCATGGTGAGAGTATGGTTCCAATATGTAAAGGGTGTGCCGACTCTACGATTCACGATTGAGCTCTTTGCATTGATATATCCTAGCTTTTATTTCCTTGTCCATTGAACGGAAAAGAGTCAAACCCAACTAGATCACGTAAATCTGCATTTGGTAACACTGAATGCTGCCTGCCTGGTCTCTTTCATCACGGTCGTTTGAGGACGTGGCTGTCCAGTGTGAATACAGATTTAATCTGTTGCCACTTAGAGACGGACAGTGTTACATCATATATTCCTCTCAGGAGCTCCCCACGCTCCTAGCTCCCATGGCTTCCTGATTCACGGACACTGTCCTTCTCTCCCAACCCTTGTCATCTCACTCCCGTTAATTTCCAAGGATAATGAGCTGTGAGGAATCTGACGATTTGGTCCCTTACATGACGCAAACATGCCCTCCCCCCCTCCCCCCTCCTTTCTGACAGCTGACATAACTTTCACATCATGCCTCCTTGCTCGGCGTTCTGCTGTGAAATAAAGGATTTAATCAGGAAGTAAAAAGTGCCACGTCGGCCCTGGCTCATCTGGTAATTGCCATGTCGGTCTGTCTACACAGAAGACCCGGGAAACATTGTCAGCAGCTAGCGAGGGTTGCTATACCAGGGTCCGTATTCATAAAGTGTCTAATAAAGAATGGTGATCTAGGATCAGTTTTGCCTTTTGTATCATAATGAAGATGGTTATATGGACAGGGGGGACCTGATGCCAGATCTGCACTCCTACTCTGAAACCCTTTTATGAATATTTGTCTAAGGAAAGCCATCGACAGCTCAGAGACCTGGGTTTACTAGTGACAGTTATAGGAAGGTTAGACGGTGACAGGGAACCTACTCTCACATTTGCTTTACCTCCGCTGTCACTAATTTCTCATTCATAATTAAGCAACCGATTTAACTGACATTCACGACTGGCATATTCACACTGCAGCTAATCCAACAAACATTAGCCATTTTGAAGGAGCAGTGTCGTGCTGTTTTGAGCTTATCTTGAGTACTCGTTAATGATGCTCCACCGAAACATGTTCCTTTCACCTTCTTATGGTTTGTGTGTTGCTGTGTTCACGCCCTGAGAGTGGTGCCAATGCAAAGCTTTGACAGTGGGAAGATACATATAATGCACTAGGAAGGGAGAAATAAAACTATGGGAAGTCTCCCAGTCAGATGTATCACTCTCCTGCTCGTCTACCTCAGCCGATATCTCTTCAGCCTCGTAATGGATGGATGGCTACACCAGCTAATGAGTTGGTAGCACCGTAATGACTTAACACAGCGAACAGGAGATAGGAGTGCCCGGGCCATCCGTTTTAGACTTTTTAAGAGGTTGTGGCTGTGGAGAGGGCAGACACATGTGCACGTGTGTGCGTGCACAGACATGCACACACAACCATGCATGCACACATACACATGCACACATACACACCCACACACACCACACACACACACACACACACACACACACACACACACACACACACACATGCACACATACACACACATACACACACACTCCTATTAAAGATGGGCGGTGGGTGCAGATAGGCATCTCGACTCGTCTGAACGATAACCTTCATTTGTTCCTTCAAACCACGTCATTGCTGCTTCTAGTGGGGTAGAGTAGACTAGAGGGAGGATAACAGCGTTTGGGAAACTAGGGCATTACCCTTCCCTACCCTTCTATTTTGATTCATGAACATTCAAAGAAACCAAGATGATTTTCTGTGGAATTTAGGAAAAGGGGGACAGTCGACTGGAAAATAAATTGGGTGGAGAACATGGCATGCTTCTTTCGCTGAGGGGACTTCCGCATCCCCGGAAACGAGACCGAAATGACAGAACGGCGGTATGTGAGCCCAGAGATTAAAAAGCAGAACAAATTAAAACATCTCGAGTGAAATCGTCATCTTTGTGGAACTAATGTGTGGGTGAATCAACTTTGGAGAGCGGGAGAGAGAGAGACTTTGTATGTCGTGATTCACTCCTCTCTTCTTCCTTTCATTCCATTCTGAAAACTGCTCTCACGCTATCAGTGTAGCCCAGAGTAGCCCAGAGCGGACCAGCAGGGCGCGGAGAGGCCTACTCATCCCCCTGTGAATGCCTACCCATGGGCAGCCAGGGCAGGTCAACATTTGGCTACACTGGGCCTCTGGGGGACAGGGACAGACGTTTGTGACGAAAAAAAATCCCCCTTCGCTCCATTTAAAGATACTGTCTTTTGAAGGCATGTGAATATGTGAACACAAGCACAAAATGTCCTCTAGCAGATGATTTTATCACAAGCTAATTGCTGAACTGTCAACATTGACAGATATATTCAGTTTATGTTGCCCATGCTGGAATCCAACCCATAACCCTGATGTTTATTTCCTGTGCTCTGACCATGCTCTGACCCTCAGAACCACTGGTCACATGTCAGATGTGTTGGTTGCACTGTTTCGCTCAACTACAGTAGCTTTGCATTCTGAAAGAGACTTTCTTCTCCATACATGAAATCCATCTTAATTTGCGTTCTGTTTTGTGTTAATAGGTATAACTTGTGCCCTTCGCTAGGCTAATGCTAGGTTAATAAATGCAAACCATGCTAGGCAGTTAATGTGGATGTGGAATTAGCTAATTAATAAGTTAGCACTTACTATTAATAAAATGTAGATTGTG